GACATGTTTAAAGACCCTGTATAATTTTTCAAAAATACGAGTAGTTTTCTCGTAATTTTGCATGAAATAAAGGCAATTTTAAAATAATTTTCTCGCAAACGTATGTAAAGCTTTTCTTTAAAAATTTTCATCGTTTCATAGGACGGTATAAAAATTGGTGCTTGTCCCATTTTCGGCAAACTCTCCGTATTTTTGAAAATTGCAAAATAAAAATAATGTAGCAAATGTACAATATTGAAAGATTTTTGAAATGTATTCTTCAAAATTAGATAGTGAAATGTTTTCTTCAAAATTAGATCTTTAAAAAGTGATTTTTTCGGTTAGCGGTTTCGCACAATTTTCGAAATTGCAGATTCGAATTTCCAGCATTTCTTTAGCTAGAAATTACGTTTATTGGGAACGCCGCGGGGTAACTTCTCATTGGTGGGTGATATTTCTGGGTGTATAGAACTGAGTTTTGAATTATCGAATTGTTATGCGTATATTACGTTTAAATTAAGTAATTTTTCGTCACTAATGCGCTACGATTAGTTATGTTTTTTTATAAGTGATGGCTAAGATGTATATACAGGAACTGCGGTGTTATAATTTTACGTAATCGTTACTGATGCGAGAAAGTTCGTCTAATAGCACTTTCCTTACCTACTGTGTAACACTAGTTTTTCACAATACTGATTAAAATCTCGTCAGCGGTTCGATTCACTTGAAACACAACTTTTTGGTCGTTATAGAAAGGAAATCATGAAGACACTATTGTGGAGAAATTCGTTTTTCTCGGCAAAACGACATAAAAATGTGATCATCTAATTGTGAAGTAGTATTACACCTCATGAGTAGTGTTTAAGAAAGTTACAATTTGATGAACACCTGTATCTACGTCGTTTTGCTGAGAAACTCGTTACTCCACACGTGTCTTAACGTTTTCCCTTCAAAAACGCCCCAAATGTTGTTTTAAGGGAATCGAAATGCTGAGATAATTTAGGTATTGCCTAACTAGTGATGCTGCAACAGAACCATATCCAAGTGATTTATATCTGGCGATGTTCTCTGTTCTTTCAGCTCTTTCTGACCTCTTATATCTTCTGCAGTTAAATTCTCGATTTCCATCGCATTTCGGATTCCCTGTTCGCAGTAGGTTAATGGTCCACCTCTTTTGTCTTTGTGGCATCCTCCGTATATTTTGTTTTGGCCACCCCTTTTTGAGCATTTTCTGCAGAGTTCCTTACCGTTGTGGTTTCCCTTCTACTGAATCCTATTATGACATTGCAAACATTTTTTATCCTCATCCGTGAGTGATGTAAACAGGAGACTTTTTTCAACTTCTCGATATATTTCTAAAGGATAGTTAGCGCGTGAATGTAGTCCACGAGCAGCAACCATACTAGTTTCGAGAAACTTGCTAGTTTTGTAATAATTAGCTCTCTCCCCAATGTAAATGTTTCTATAAATCAGTCTGTTTCATTGCAACAAAATTAATAAAAAATAACTTCCGAAATTCATATTCTGATTGAAGAGCAACCTAGACTTTGCATATAATGAAGAAATAAATGATTTTGGGGTCAATGAAAGCCGAACTTAGAGCTAATTGGATAATTTTGTCCTTTCCAAGGGACAAACGTTGTTTATGATCAGTTCATTTTACAAATTTACGTCTATTTAAGGTTCTTTTTGTAATTTTCCATTCATAAATGCACTTGTTTCTGTTTGTCGTACTAGTTTCCTCTGGTCCCCAGTCTTGTTTGTCTTTTAAAAAGTTACCGGTGTTTTAATTGAATTACGATTACTACAGTCAATTATATTGCAGATGCTTTCAGATTTGAATCTCAGAACGTCAATTCAAACATTTCTACGCGATGACGTATCCTTGTAGTACTTAGGAGTATGCGTGTTAAGAGGTACATCAGAACTTTTGGACTTTGTTGTTCAGATAATGTGTTAAACATTGACCGTGCTTTAGCTATCCCTCTGAATCGGACTTTCCTTACCTGACACTCAGCAATTTTAATAGTGTGTATTGGACTTCGCGGGCGTTTTAATGATTAGTTGTAAACAATGCAAATATATCTTGTGAAGTGATTCTTTTCTTTGTTTGGGTGTATGTACTCGTACAATGTAACCTTTTGGTGTGGTTTATTTTCGCATCATCTTATACGCAGCAAACGGAAGCCACCCGAGTCTGAAAGCGTGACATCCGTTAGAATTGTACCTGCCAGTGGACAATGCCTCCATGAGAATTATGGAATGTGAGTATAGATTACATAAAATCCTTAACTCGTCAGATATTTACTTTTTTTATTGTTGGCCCATTAATTAAAATTAAAGCGGATCAGTATTTTGCTTTGAAGGTTCATTAAAATACTTCAGAGGTAATGACAGATGCGCGCACCAGAATCTGCAAATACGTGACCCATCAAATAGAATGGTTTCGGAATGCTCTACAAATTTCATTGAGAATTTCATTAGATCATGGTAAAACATAGAAATCAATAAAACGTAAAATGATAGAATCCTAGAGGTTTGTGATGGTTGGCTTTTAGTTTTCCATACTGAAGTGCATCCAAAAATTCCACATGCTTGGATTAATATAGAATATCTCTGCGTTTAATGACCAGTATTCCAGTTTACATCTCACTGCTCTTGTAATTTTTCCATTAATTAATTTTGTAGTTAAATCTCCACATTTTCCGAAAGTGATGCAATGATAGGTGGGATTATATCTCTGGAATTTAAAATATTCGAAAATAAATTACTGTAGGCATAAAATTAAGACTTTGTTATGAAATGAGCATCCCGGGCTTTGTTTTAGGGTATTATTGAAATGGTTGAAAATTATGAATGACGAATTTGATGTCTTAAAAAATTGAGGTGGGAGGAGGTGTTTAGATTGTGCGCGTAAGGACCCATTTTGCTGCTTGAACCACTTGCAGTGCTTTCTGAAACAGCTGTTGCCTACCTGAAAATCCTGAGATTTGTAAATGTAAGGGAGTTTTTACTAAAGTACGTGGAAAAAATATTAATTAAAAATGTTTCTTGGCTGAAATTATTAAAAAATCGTATTAAAATTTATTTTGTACAATTCTCACTCCAATACCTACTTCATGAGACGTTTACTAAACTTACGAAATTTGTTCCTAGATTTTGCGAAATTAACCGAATATTCTTCGTTCCTGTTCTTTGCCTTGAACATCATATGCAGGTGATCGTGTCTAGTGAATGGGTTGAAAATTGACGAAACTGGAAAAAATGGAAATGCCAGAGCTGGGAAGGTCGTAAAAGGCAGGGAATTTGGAAATTTCCGATGCACTGTCGTCCCGTTAAAAAATTCCGATCGACCGTAGGTACGAGCAGGTGTAGGCCTTCGCCGAGGAAAGTGGCGGCGTCTCCGCGGAGCCCATTCTTGTCGAGCACCGGTGCTCCCCGCTTCTCCCACTCCGCGCGGTCGCTGCCTTGGGTGCTCCGCCCGCCAATGGGGCGAAGGCGCCGGGCTGCCGCGGCCGCCCGTCAGTCGCCCGTGTCCGTTCCCGTCTCCGCGGCGCCCGGGTGTCGCGGGCTGTAAGCGAGACGTGGTCGCACATGGGGAAGCGTGTAGTCGTCGGATGTGTTCGATGAAGTAGAAAGTAGCGTGGCGCGATATGCCTGCGTGTTTCGGGAGAGTGCCGGTGGTCGAACAGTTCGGGGTGGCGGCGATGGTAGCAAGTGTGTCACAGAAAAGCATAGTTAGAACTGTTTTTACTGTAGGTTATGCCATTTAAATGATTTAAAATAGTGCATTTCCGCTCGCCATGTGCCCAACTGGAGTGTAAGTGTCCCAATTTGTAATCGGTAACGCGTTGTGCAGCTGTTCCAATTTCGAAGCGCCGATATGATCGATACGTTGTGGGAAGGAGTCCCGCTGTGCTTTCTTTCCGTCAACGACCTTCGCTTTCGTTACAGGAATCTGGCCTCTGCCTCCAGCAGACCTTGCTCTCATGGTCGGTCGTTCTTGGCAGCGCAAGAGCTCGCGTTATCAACTTGGTTGGTAGCATGCGTTGTGGACGTTGCCCGCTCGTGGTTTTTTTTGTTAATTATGCCTTGTTTGTCCATGCCATCTATGTTCGTCCATAAAGATATCTTTTGAAGATTCTGACAATGTTATTGCGTGCTGAGTGAATTATACCCCACGATGCATTAGAATATGGTCATACGTTTTGTTGCAGTCCTATTTTTAATTCGACGTAATTTATTTGGTAAAAATTGAGTTATTGCCAATGGTCGTTTTACTCATTTCCATATCTGCAAATTTAGAATGTCGATAGTTTAAAATATTGGATGTTCATCCTCTTCAGTGACAAAAAGGGTCGTAGTTTGATCATGTTTTCAAATATTTTTTTATTGCTTATACATTTTTTAATATCCGCTGAAGTACTTCATGGCGGATTAAATAAGATTAATTTACTTGTAAGAATGTGTTGTTCTGTGTATTGATTATGTTACTGTCAAAATGTTAAAACGTTAGAAAGATTTGGGAAAATTTTGCAAATTTTACCGTACACCATATGTTTATTCTTGAAATTTCAAAGTTAATCGGAAAGCGCGTTGATTTCATTTGCAATTGTGTACGATTCACGCATTCTCAGTTTTCTGCGTTGCACACGAAAGGTTCAATCCTTTAAGTGGTGTTAGTTCAAAAACTCTCTAACTGTAATTATATCAGTTGGCAGACCCTGCACTAATTGGTTGGGAAAAAAGCTTCTTGAACTTCCCGGATACAAAGAACCAGCTGATCACTTTCATTCAAGATCGCTGGGGTATTGTTCGGAAACAGGGATCCAGATCGCATTAAGGTTATTTTCTAGGAGCCCTGTAAGCGGTGTTGCTCCTTGCTGTCAACTAAAAGAATTCGAGGACTATGTTGGGAAAGCATTGGGCAATATTGAGGCATTGCCCTGAGACAGGAACTGCAATGCTGTTCCGGCGGGGCTTTGCGTTTGACGTGTGTGTGCGCGCTGTTTGTCCCACAGCAGTGAGCGAGCGCAGCGCTCCCGGCAGCATGAGCGCGGCACGAGCGCGGAGCGCCGCTACAAGCGCAGCCATCGGCGGTCGCCCACGTCCACGCACCGCCGCCGCCACCACCACCGCCATCACGGCCACGCGCACCGCCACCGCGACGGACCCGACCACAGCCGCCGCTCGTACTCGTCCAGTCAGGTGAGCCCCGAGGCGCCGCCCGGCCGCCGCCCCGCCTCTCCCTGCCACCCGCCCCTGCCCCCGCCCACGCCCCGCTCCTGCTCCCAACCGCGGGTGCTTGCAGCTGCCACCGTCCGCCGCCTGGCGAGGCAAGGCGAGGCGAGCACAGCCGTGCCCAGCCCAGCCGGCCTCGCCGCAGCCCAGTGTGTATGCTAAGCTGAAAAACGTGTCCTGGGACCCTTTGAGGGGAAAGCCTGGTGACATCGCATGGTCACTCGTGACGACGGGGCTTTTAAATTGACTGACTTCCTTTTCAGCTTTATGGACGCCGAGCAATTATAAGTAATGAATAAATGTGCAATGGTTACCTCATACCTCAATACTAATGGTGGACAAACGAGTGAAAGCCCGTAACGGTGATTCGTGACTGACGTTCAGCCTTGTATTAAATTTTTTATGTAGCTTTGTGGTGCGACTATTTTCGCCAGGTCAGTATTGCATGAATATCCAGCAGAACTTTAGCGTAAGAATTGATGTGTTTTTAAGATGCAAACCTGACTCCGGAAGTATCGTGAAACATGAAAGCCAAATGTAGTAAGTGAACTAGTTCGAAACCAGAAATGGAAATTTTATGAAGGTCGGGTACCGTGCGCTGATGCGCGGGGGATTCCGGAACGAGCTTTCACACGTTGAGGTACCCGCGCATCTCCTTGTGCCTGCGTACGCGCGGCGCTCGAGTTCGTTGCACGCCGAGGCCTGGGAAGGCCCGCCGACGACTGTGGTCCTTGGCTTTCGCCGACGGCGCCACGCCACGCCGCGTCCTCCGGTCCTCGCTAGGCCTGGCTTCGCGCTCCTGAAGGCCGACACCCGAGCGTATCTGTAATTCGATCGTTCCGCTCGCGCCCGCATGCCCCGCGATCGAGGCGTCTGGTAGCCGGAATGCGCGTAGGCGTGTATCCTCGGCGAAAGCGCGTCGCGCCGGCGCTCGCGACGCGGGGAACCAGGAAGCCGGCGAGTTAGTGCGCTGTCCGCGCGGCGTCGCTCACGCCGGGTCCAGCCGCGCTTCTCCGTCTGCCGTCTCTGGCCTCGCTATTTCTGGAGATCGCGCGCGCTATTTTCGCCCGCGCCTCGTCAGCGGCCTGCTGCGGCGCTCGCTCACTGCAGCGCGTGGCGGACTGGCGGTGGCGGCGGCGGCGGGTAGTGCTTGGCGTATACCGCCCACATGCCGAGTGCCATGAGAGCTCCGCCATCGGCCGGGCCACCGCCGCCGCCCCGCGCTCCGCCCTGAGCCAAGCGGAAGCGCACCGCGCCGCGCTTCACCGCACGGAACCCGCACCTGCTATCGCCCCTGTTCGTGCACGCGGCAATGGAGGCGAACTGGGCGCACCCGCCGCCGCAGGGCCCGCTCGGCCCTCCGACCGCGCTAGGAGATCCGGCGGCGCCCGACCAGCTGCCCGCGCTGTGCTGCCACTATCAGTACCAGCACCCGGCAGCCGCGCTGACTCTCGGGTTCGCGCCACCTGTCCCGCCAACCCCGACCTGTGCCGCGGACGTCGCCTCTGCCTGTCCGCACCCGCTCCTGGCGCCGCCGCCGCCGCCGCCTCCGCTGCCACCGCAGGCCGCTGCCTATAACACTTCTTGGTGGCCGTTGCTGGAAGGTGCCCGAGGGAGCGTGCCGCACGCCCTCTGGACGTGGATCCCATGTATGGAGACGGAGGTAGAAAGTAGCTTGTGCCCACTCCACATGTCAGCACTAACCAATTCCTCCTTGTCTGACACCGCACTTGGCTGTTGAGTGCTTGGCGAGCGCGCGTTTGCAGGGGTCAGATGGTGTGGTGTGTTGTGGTGTGTCGAGTCGTGTCGTGTGGTGGCGCGGCACGCGCGCCGGGAGAAGGCTGCGCCCCGCGACGGGCACGCGAACTGCGCTTGTGGGGCGCGGCCTGGCGGATGCGAGCGTAAACGCGCCCCCGAAGCGGAGCGGCGGCCCTGCCGCCTGCCCGATCTTTTGCCGTTCCACGCGTGTATTTTTAGAAGTCTCTTTCTGCTGGATCGCGGAGACCGCGCCAAAATACCTGAGCAGGATGTCTCGACGTGACTTTGACTCGCTTGCGTTGAATTTAAGCGATAGGCGCAAATTTAAATTTTGTTCAACAATAACGTATCAATAAACCCCATCGCAAAAACTCTTCACAATTCCTATGCATTTTTACCAAATGCATTCAATATTCATCACGTGTTCCTGATGCGACATAATTCATTTACAAAATTGTGTGAAGTGGGAAAATATATAAAAAATGAGTGAGCTATCCTCAAGGTAGGTGGCTTGCTCGCCAGTTAGTCTTGCGATATTTACATATGAAGGCGGTTTTAACACTACGCATTCCCCGTTCCCCGAATAGCCACCTAATTTCTGCGTAGAAAGAGGGGTATAGTTTTGGGACATTGATGTAAAAGTATTGGAATCACTATAGATTCATTATATCGTAATTTATTTGTTTGGAAGAATATTTCAGAAAATGACGGTTTTATTGTATTGCGTACGTAGGAAATAAATTGCTTGTAAAGCGTGGCCCTTAACACACTTCGTGAGTTGCTTTCATAAACGTTTCAGGTCAGGTAACGAGGACGACTGCCAGAAATGTGTGGACATCTTGTCTAGGGAAATACTAAAAATATGAAAAGATGGCTGGGAACAGTTTTATATTGATGTAGCTTTAATTATTTTTAATTATGTAGTACGGTTTACTTTGCGTTGTTTACTTCGACTGAGGAATTGAATTAGCTTATAGATGCTCTATTTTAAAATTATAAAGATTAATTTCTACGCGTTGAGAATCACCTGACTGTAAAGACAATTAGCTTGAGTATGCACCGTTCGCATCAAAATCGTGTCACGCCGGGGCTAAGAGTCGCGTCGTTAGTGTTATATTTTCTTAGTTGTATTATATTACTATGATGATTCAGATACTGTAAAATGTTGATGTAAGAGGTCGTGAGAAACACTTGTCAGCTAACTGGACGTCTGTCCTGAAAGAAGGAAACGCGCACGAGGAAGAACAGAGATTAGTTCATTATCTCGCGTTTGCTGCGTTGAAAGCAAGCATAAATAAGAAGTTCGTTGAACAGAAAATCCCTTTGCGGTAGAGCACCATAAAACTCTTATTTCCTAGTGCATAAAGAAATTCAAATGTAGGACACGTGGCTCCAAGGGTTGACACGCGTTTCACAAACCCATCTGGCGAGGACTCTGGCGCCTTAACTCTCTCGTCTGGAACCGAAAGATGGCGGTGGTGGCCACCCACAACAAGGTACTGTTGTGGTAGCCACTGTGGATGGCATGTTGCCACGCGAAGCGAGGCGGAGTTGGTGATTGCGACGTCGGCGAAACTCATCGGAGGCGGTGCAACGTTTTCCTCCTCGGATCTTTGGCAACTTCGCACATCACATCATCCCCCGGGCCCAACCCATGGAAGCTGTGAGGTCCAGAATTCTTTTAAGCGGTGTCAGATTGACGATCGAGTATTTCCTATGAAACAAAATAGTTTTTTTCTTTCCGTTATTTTTCTTGTAAAGGATGCAAACAAAATTCACAAGGAGGTTATGACATGTAAATATGCTTAAAAGACGCTCGGCAAGTCACTGGCGACCAAAATTCTTATTTGTGGACATTTGTTTAATCCACAATCAAACTGTTGTATGTTAGTGGTGATTACTTAATCCACTTTAATTCGTTGTTTCGTTGCCATATAACGAGTGTTGCGACAACATTAAGAAACGCTCACAGAGAAAATTACACGCATAACTATTTTTTATAATTCTGTGGTAATACAATTGCAATCCTGACAAGTTTTATCTGTGATATTTATATTGCCACTTTAATTTTTATGTATCAATATTCTGCGTGGTAGGAAGATGCATAATACATGATAGTATATTGTTAGATGATAAGCTGCCTATTTAAATCGTAATTTAACCGTACGTCCTCAACACTGTTTTTTAAAAAAAAAAGTGTGAAAGGGAAAAGGTTCTTATGAAATTTCCTTACAGTCTCACGACCCTTCTGCAGCGGCAAGGTTACTCCTTCGGAAATAGGCGAGAATAAGGTTGAAAGTGTAGCATCGGGAGCAAGGTTTCACTGATGACCTTGAAGGTCGCGGGAATAACTAAATTCGCGATTGCTAGGGCTCTGCATTGGATAGCTGAGCAAACGAGTGTGGATATCAGAAATTATTTTTGACTATTAAAAAATCATGTGTGTTAGAGTTCAAAAGTGGCGGTTCCTGGGACACTTGCGGGACAGACGTTAAGGGGTTCTCGCCAAATTGATGTCAGACTTGTATTGCTCGAAAATCACGTACATGCAAGTAGTGCTAGTTGACATTTGAAACTCGGTTAGCAGCGAATATTTTTCATTTTTCGGAGGTAATTATCGAATTTTTTTTTGTATGAATCGTGATTTTCGTTCTATCGTCGTGACTATCGTAGAAATGTGAACAATTTCCAGGCAGCCCTAAAACGAAGTTTTCATAAGCTACCTACCCTTTAAATTATCAAAATTAGACATTTGAATTAGTGCTACCAGATGAACACAAATAGAATATGTAACGCATGTTTAGTTTAGAGTAGTGGTCAAAGAGTTAAACTAGTCCCTCTGGTGTTTGCGGAGAAGGCAGCTGTGCGTGCACAATATTAAGACATCTATTTCGGTTCGAGTTCGGTAGCCATGAGCGCTCACAGTGCCAACTTTTGGGCGGAAGGACGTCAATAGTGCGAATTTTTTGTAGAAGCAAAGATTCAAACTGAGAGTGTGCAAAAACAGTTGCTCAATTTCTGGTATATTTCATGAGACGTAAGAAATACACTTCGAATTAATGCATTTGTTGAGCAGTGTGCGTTTGCTGCCCCTATTAGGAACAATTTGCGCCATTGATGCTCGATTGTTAATTAGGGGACGGATTTTAATCATTTTCTTCTCACGTTAGAACAATCCCTTTTAGTATATAAACGAATTTTGTG